GGGAGGGGAAGATATAACCAGCTACTTGGAAATGCTCTTCAGTTACCCTCTGACCAGTGGGCAGTACACACACCCCTCCGCGGACATTGAAAAACGCTTAAGGGTAAGTGGGTATGGTTCACATCCGTCCAAGTCTGTCACCTATACACTCCCATACATTGTTACATAAAACAAACCTTCTCCACCAACTGTTGCCTCATCTCATTCACAACTTAAGAGTGACTGCTCTCTCTTTCTCCTCCACACTTCCTACCATGTATGGCCCAACTATTACCCTCATGGATCATCTCCAAACACAGCTGCATAACTCGAAGAAAATAGACTTGAAAAAACGATTTAGGCAAATGGACCACATCCCTCCTCCTGGACTCTGCTCTCTCATCCTCTCCCACTTCCGGTTGTGTGCATAGCTCCAAGAAAATAATGGATGTCAAAACCACAAATGGGGATAACCACTCTCACACCGAGGGGAAGCTCCCCTCACCCCTCCCCCACCCCAAACAACATAACAGACTATGTTGGGACCCCTCACACCAACACTCAGCCTCTACATAGCTTACTTACTATCATCAAAACTATTATCTACACACAGGATTAAGTCTACGCCAAACACATACATATCTAACTACTCCTACACACATCCGACACGCCACAACTTCCGGGAAAATACCCAAAAACCCCTTGCGCGTCGCTCTAGTCGCAGGGGTCACACCTGCCCAGAGGCCGCGCGTCGCTCTAGTCGCGGGGGGTCCCCACGCCCCAGATGACGCGCGTCGCTCTAGGCGTATATTTCACTACTCTAATGACACTTTTAAGGTACCTATTTGATAACTCAAGATTCCGTTCAATACTGTCTTTATTTACTACAACCTTAGCAAGGGCGAGCAACTTTATTACGTTCCTGCAGGCCAATGTGAGATGGAATCCACAACATTTTAAGATTTACCCCCTTGTTAAGTATGCTAATATATTCATGTCTGGTTTCTGACACAAGCACGTTATTACTTGATTTGCAAACTATTTATTGCTAGTAATAAGAAAAAGAAGAAAGGGAGTCGGAAATAATTAAGCTGTCTTCGTCAGTGTTGTCAATAATTTAGAGTGCTACCAGTATTGCTACCAACTCAGCTTACATTGCGAAATATGGATATCCAGTAATATGGAATTATATCGGAATTAGTACCCAGTTACTAATTCTAATATTCCTTTATTGCTGCCATCGGGCTAATGAGAAAAAGCAGCACTTCCTGTCCTCCCTGTAGCTGTATTGAGTGATCCGTTAGTGTATATTGTCTGTGCGATGTTGTTTTTAGTTTTTATATTGTGAATGTGTTCTATGGTTCTTAATTTAGCAGCAAGCTGAGCATGAGGGTTGTTTGTGATTAGTTTCTTGGTGGGTGTATGCACGGCTCAGGATGTCAAAAGGTACTATCTACCAGAGTGGAAGAATGTGCTGTACTCTTTCATCTGTATATACATCGTGCAGTCCCATCATTTTAATATGAGTCGTTGTTCTTTGAATCCATTTAGACTCTCTGGTTATATTACGTATGTGTTCTAACAGTTCAACTGACAAAATGTTGCTTTTAACGGGTGTACAGATTCCTGAGCCTATTCCCACAGCTCTTTTCGTTTCCAGTAGCTGACTCGTGTACCTTGCTGCCTCCCGGAAAGTTGCTGCTTTCATAGCAACATTCTTGACTGGACATGGCTTATGGGCTCTTTCTCAGCAGTTCTGCAAATCATTGTAGAGGTCCCTGCTATTGTTATATTCCCTATAGGCTACTTGTGGATTGGTTGCCTGGGCCTGAGGAGGGTTATTTTGTTAAGGTTTTTAGTTCCTTCTGCGCTGCTCTTGGTTCCATGTGGTGTGGGTTGTGTGTAATATGGATGTAGGTAATATGGATTGTGTGAGACACAGGTGTAAGTGGTATGGGCTATGTATGACATCTTTGTATCTTTGTAGGCGATATGAATTGTGTAACATTGGTTGTAGGTGGTATGGGATGTCTATGTGGGATGTAGGCAGGTGGTATAGGTTGTGTGTGAAAGTTTTGTTGGTGGTATGGGTTGCGTGTGACTTGGGTTTTTAAGTATTCTATTTTTGACATGGGGGTGGTGGTTGAGGTTGTGGGATATGGGTGAGGTTGTTATAAGACGGATTTGGTTAAGAAAATGAGAATCAAGGCACTTTCAGAAGTCCTAGTGTTCCTTACATTGTAGCTTTGAGATCAAATCAGGGATAACGGCCGCACTTTCACTTACTGAGATTGAAGTATATGTTTAGCAGATCTCTAACCCGGTCCATGAAGACAAAAAAAATTATATATTCTGGTTAGCAATGTATATGTGTGGCCGCGTCTGCAGAAGGAAATAATACTAATGATGATAATAATAAAAAACATTCCACGATTTCGCTGTTCATCTTTCTTGTGGTAAGTTTTCAGCGATTTCGCTGTTCGGCTGCCATGAAGTTTGTCTTTCCATGAACTCAACACTTGCATGTCAATGTTCAATCTCCCGAAAGGAGAAAGGGGAGGGTGCAGGAAAGAATGGGAAAAGCGGGGAGAGAAAGGATAACAGGGGAGAAGGGAAAAGAAAATGGTTGGAAAGTGGGGTTCGAGAGAGACAGACTCTCCCGGGCACCACCGGGTACCCCCCTCTTAATACATATATCTAAACTATAAGAGAGAATGTTTGTTTGTCAGTCTGTCCAAAGTTGGAGGCCAGACACTTGTTGATAGCCTCGTGCAAACTTTGCAGAGGGAAAGGGTTATGGGGTTCGGGGCAGACATAGGCTGGCGGGTTAGGCTTATGTTAAATTATTTAAGAAATATCAGCATTTATAGAGACCCTCTATATGACTTTCATGAAGTTAATTTTATAATATTTGGGTTGATTCCCATAAAGGTCTTAATTATCATAAAAACATATTTTCTGAGAAATTCATTCAGTTGTTTCAGTTCTTCTTAATAAAATTTGATGTTACTCTAGGGATAACATAAAAACAATTCAATTCAATTTCTTTCTTTATTATGCACCCCATACCCATCCCGTGGGTGGTGGCGTAAAGGATTACAGAGGCGCGTAATCGGTTTAGGAACTGAACCCTCTAGTTCGTTTAGCTAAGCAAATAATAATTTTTGACGCTAGTTACAAAATTATTAATGTTATATATACATGAACACACACACACACACACACACACTATATATATATTATATATATATATATATATATATATATATATATATTATATATATATATATATATATATATATATATATATATATATATATATATATATATATATATATATATATATATATATATATGCAGTCTACACTAAAGAAACAAACATAGGAATGTGACTAAATGCTAACAGTGACTGCCCAGACAGGTACAAGAGGAGTGTTGTTAACGCTTATGTCGACCGTGCTCTCAGCCACACCTCAGGATGGAAGCAAGTCGATGAAGAACTCTGTAGGGTAAGGCAGGTCCTAGTCAACAACGGCTTCTCCAATGGTTTCGTTGAAGGCATCATAAGAAGGAAGGTGAAACGCCATGCAACCTTTGAAGAGACAACTAACACAACACCTGTACCCCCTATTAGACTATTTTACAGGAACTTTTTTTCCACAGCTCATAAAATGGAGGAAAGGGTCCTGAAAGATATTGTTAATAGAAACGTTATCCCAACAGACAAAAATCAGAAGATACAATTGACGATTTACTATAAAACCAAAAAAACGGCCAACCTACTCATGAGAAACTCTCCAGACACAAAGCAGAACGCTTTAAAAGAGACCAATGTCGTCTATGCCTTCAAATGCCCACTTGGGGACTGTAAGCCTCAAAGAATTCAGTATTCCAGAGAAGACCAGAGAAGTCTTAACAAAAAATACGGAAATCATCGATAGATACAGCGATAGCAGGCTACTTGATATCTGCGAGGCACTACACACCAAGAAGTCGACACCAGCAATCAACAGCCAATTAATGCACAATTATATTCTACCCACTTCAAGACTCCGCACCAATATAGAAGCATCAAGAAATATGGGCCAATAGGCCCTCTGCAGTTACTCCCATTCTTCCCTTTAACTTACCCAATATTATACCCATTGTTTCGTGTTTTGTCTTGTGTTGAAAGTTTGTTTACACCTCATCCAAAACTGTTGTAACATGTCACCTCACCCAAATGCATGTATAAAATCAAAGCTGTTTAAACTCTGTTTAGTGTTTGTAGGTTATAGTTGTGTGTGTGTAAACTAAAGTCTTTGAAAATGTAATAAGTTATTACGAAACGCGTTCAAGTGTCGCGTCAGTCTAGAAATAAAAATGAATTTTGGAGAATTGATTTTTCAATTACCATCAACAGTGTAAAGAACCATAAGAAATATTGAGAGAAAATTCGTGTTAAAATTATTAATCT